GCGCTGACATCCTATTATATCTTGCAGCTATTCTCTTGCATGAAGGTTTGACAAATCATCTATCATTCACATCAGTCAATGTTTCATATGGTGAATTAAGTCCATGGTCTCTCATCTCGTATCATGAATACTTAGTCATGTGATGAATTGTAAAACCTTATTTTATGTATGACACGGCAGACATCAACAATTCTGCCATAAAAAAAAGACCTGCAAACATGACACAGTTCTACTTGAACACAAGCACATATTTCTTTGTTTTTAACACTGAATATAAATTTTAGGAAATAAAACATATTTTGAACATAAATATTCTCCTGGAAAACTTTGAATTCACTATTTTGCAGCAGTATATGCCATATTTATTGCACAAATAGGTCTTCCAACCACTAAACTGTTTCCTTGACTTGAACAATAGTGACCCGTGAAAGTCTGGGCTAGAATTTTTGTTTTTAAAATCTTTTTATTCATTTCAATTCAGTAGGTGTACATTCAGATTGGGTGTGTTCAAATATATACCTATATTATGCATGAATAACAGTTTTATGTAATTCATATAAAGCAGCAATACATTGTTTGTTAGAGGTCTGGGCTAGAATTGATCTTCAGTAACCCATACTTGTCGTAAGAGTCAACTAACGGGATCATGTGGTCAGGCTTGCTGCCTTGGTTGACTCAGGTCATGGTATCCCAATTGCGTTGATCGATACTCATGCTGTTGATCAATGGATTGTCTAGTCCAGATTTGATTATTTACAAACCGCCGCCATATAGCTGGAATATTTTTGATTTTTGTTTTGTAAATATTTTTTATTAAAATAAGTAGGATTATAAAATGGACATTTTAATGCTTATATGTACCCCAAGGAGGACTTCTTCTGAAACAGAATGATGAGTGTGGTGAATAACTAAACTCACTTATTTGACCAATAGTAGAACTATACTAGTGCTAACTGTATGACCTTCACCTACACTTGCAACTCTGTAAAAGACAGAAGGGCATGCTCATCCCTCACAAACACTAGGGTTAGAAATCAATTCTTGATTTCACAAGTCTACAAAAATGACCTTCCAGAGTTGCCATCTTCGTTACGGTAACAGTGGAAGTCAAGACAAAAATGTCAACAGTCCTTCCTGAAAATTACATATCTGAGCTGTCTCGTTAGCTGACTAAAGTACATATGAACTTCATTCTGCTTCATGAGTCAAGAGTGTAGCCTCCACTTTCTCTAAAAATGGGGGCAGGGTTATCTAGGGTGGCACAATTCACAGTGCAGAGATGTATTCAGGGGTCACACCCAAAACCTGAGATCACGAGTTGGAATCCTGTATTAGGTTGTAGTTTTGTCAACACCAAAGGTTCAATCAAGTATAAAAGACCTGCTTGACTTGCAACTTTCCCACCACTTTAAGCTGATACGCCATGATATAACTAGAATATCTCTCAAACCGGATTGAAATCACTCTTTTGAGAAACTAACTTAGTGCACAGAACAAGACCGACGTAAGCGTCGCTTTCATTATGACGTCATTGGGTTGGTCACATGACTACACTCGTTCAATCTGCACATGCCATGGATACAAGCATGAGTAATCATGATATCGGACTGTTTAACTGATAGTTGTACCGAAACCATTATCTCTACTGAACCCTACTTGTGGAGGGAGTCACATGTCTGCCTGGAGACACATGGCCAGTGTTGGAGCTACTGCCATAATATGTGCCTTTGTGAATAGGATCTGTCCCTTTCTTTGTTTGTATCCAGCTCTATGGCAGTGGTCTGTAAACAATCGACAAACCAGACAATCCAGTGATCAAGATCATGAGCATCAATCTACGCAGTTGAGATACGATAATATGTGTCAACCAAGTCAGCGAGCCTGACCACCTGATCCCGTTAGTTGCCTCTTACGATAAGCTTGGTTTGCTGAAGACCAATTCTAACCCGAATTTTCACGGGTCAGGAGTTTTCCTTTATAGGTGAGGTGAGGTGAGGTGAAATTGGCTTTAACATCATGCTTGAGAATATTTCGCTCATATGACGACGTGCATGCGTGTGTATGTGTATGTGCTGCTGCTTGTACAAGCCCAGACTAAAGCTGGTTTTATAGTGCTAGCCCACTGAGATACCATGCTGCAGTGTAGCATGAATGCCCCACTCAGACACATTATACTGACTCTGAGCCAACCAGTCCTTGTTGTACCCATTAATGCCGAGCGCCAGGCAGAGACCAACAAGTACCATATTTTAACGTCTTTTGGTATGACATGGTCGGGTTTCCTTTATAGTATATTCCTCTTGGGAAGTTATTCCGTTGAGACAGGTTTTACTTGAAAATCTGTCCAACATACACTTACACTGGCAATATTTGTTCCTGACAGAGCTGATGCTGTGCTAAACTAGCCAATATACTCCTAAACCACAGAAACTTTCAATACCATGCATTGGTTTTAAATGAAAAATGTTTTTGCAAATTGATTTTTACATTTTTGAAAATGAAACAGATCAAGCAACTATGTAATATTAATAACACAAGGTGAGACACTGCAGTACAGCCAGTTTGGAGCCAACTTATCCTTGTTCTAACCCGACCGCCTCCGTGGTGTAGTGGTTAGAGCATCCGCCCGGAGAGCGGAAGGTCGCGGTTCGATCCCCGACTGCGTCATACCAAAAGACGTTAAAATATGGTACTTGTTGGTCCCTGCCTGGCGCTCGGCATTAATGGGTACAACAAGGACTGGTCGGCTCGGAGTCAGTATAATGTGTCTGAGTGGGGTATTCATGCTTCACTGTGGCATGGTATCTCAGTGGGCTAGCACTATAAAACCAGCTTACGGCTGGGCTAGTACAAGCACACATACACATACACACGCATGCATGTCGTCATATGAGCGAAATATTCTCAAGCACGACGTAAAACCCAATTTCACCTCACCTCACCTTGTTCTAACACACTCTGTGTGACCTACAGCCACAACACAACCCCTACAGAACATGAATACAACAATGTAGTGAGAACACTGGGTTTCAGTCTATAATAATACATTATGAATACCCTAGCAAGACAGATGAGAGAATCTGAAGGTCAAACGTCACTGCAATGAAACATCAAAATATGTCAATGAACTTAAAAGTTTCAATTTCCACAATAAGATTGTCGCCTCATTTTACACACCATACATCTGTTAGTTATGTACAGTACAGCGTTCTTCTAAATCCATTAGAGTTGTCAAGGTAATGGACAACAGAACTGCCACATTCTGTGGCAAGTCACATTTCCGCTGTAGCATGTCATATTACGTTTAACATTTTACCACTTAGATTGAAAATTTACCGTCTTCACTTATTAAAGGAACATATTACCACACTTGCAAACAGTCTTTCCTAATTGTCAAGAATCATTAATGCTAATGCATTACCATCCTCGATAATCTTCAAGGTATACATTCCAATAAATCTTTACTGTTGAAGATTTATCGGAACATATACCCTTGGTATTATCGAGGATGATGCATTACAAAGTAATTCCATAGAATTCAGAATTCTGGAAGATTACTTCAGAGACACAAACCACCTGGCAAAATTTCGTAAGTTCTACACCTTCAGCGTAATCCCAGGTAGACAGATAGTGAGTGAGTGAGTAAGTATGGTTTTACACCGCCTTTAGCAATATTCCAGCAATATCACAGCAGAGAACACCAGAAAAATGGGCTTCGCATGTTGTGCCCATGTGGGAAATCAGACTCGGCACTTCGGCTGGAGAGCGAACGTTTTAACCACTAGGCTACCCCACTGCCACAGACAGATAGTAGATTCAGTGCATTGAAAATATATGCCACAACAAGCACAGAAGTTACCAGAGGCAAAGCATTTTAATGATGTAGAACTCAACTGCAGGAGAAATGTATGGGATGTATTCAGAATAAGACCTTCCCAGCGAACTTCCACAGCAAGTGGATATGTTTAATGCCTATTTGAACAGTTTTTCACACTGTGTGTCAATGTCATGAGGGAAGAAAACCTAAAACAGTGCTGTTCTTCCGTGTTCATCACTTAGCTCAGCAAACTGCACCCTTGAACTTAAAGTTTCTGTGATCTTCTCTGTATCTATGTAGTACAAACCCAGGAAGGTCAAGATCGACTCAGGATCTGACATAGAACTTACCTGTATCTACCCAGGTATAATGCAGGTTCTACTCTGGATCTAAATAGGATCTACCAAGGATCTACCCAGGGTAAATGCAGGATCACCCTGATCTTCCTGGGGTGAACTCAGGATCAATTCAAGATCTACCACATATCTATTAAGGATCTACCCAGGATCAATGCAGGATCTACCCTTTATCTACCCAGCATCTACCCTGGGTTTACCCAGGATCAATTCAAGATCTAACCCTAGTGATCCAGCGAGCCTGAGGTGTCGGGAGTGAGCCCAACTGTGACCAAGTGTAAAAATACACAACCCTGTGTACTTATTAGAACCAACAAATCCATGGGTATATGACCAGATGGTGGCCACATGAATACGTGCAAACACCTATTTGCTGGTACAGCAACATGCAGTAAACTTGAACAAAGTACTGTGACAGTGTGACCATGTGTCCCAGTCCACACAGCTGTGAATGGGTACCTCGTAAGGATGTGAAAGCCACATTAAGGTGTGCCTAGTGGCTGCAAGAGTCGTATGATCCCCAGGGAGTTGAGATTGATAATATGATGTGCCGTTTGAGATTGACATCCAATGATTGAGGGAAGAAAGTGCCTTTGAGCAGCTGAGCTGGATATTGGTGCTATACAAATATTAGCATAATAATAATTCCCCATATCTATTTAGGATCTACCCAGGATCAATCCAGATTCTACCCTGCATCTACCCTGGATCTACCCAGATACACCAAGCACCAGTCCAGGAAGGCTATAGAATATTGGATCAACCCAGGACCTACCCCAGATCTACACAAGACAGGGCTGCACCTTAGAACACACAGTGAGACTTACCATCAGGAAACAGGTAGTTGAGGAGGGGCAGTTTTGAGGAGTGCTTTCTCCACAGCCGGAGCACATAGTCTTCCCAACGCACCATCTTTCCCAGGATGAGCATCACAGGGATTGTGGGTAATCCAATAAGGAGGAACAGTGGATCTGCTCTCTCCATCACATTCAGTCCCTCCTTGTGCCCTAGCACCTGCAACAAACAGATTTTAAACTTAGATTTAGAGTTTTACAGAGACACTTTGGATACTTATAGTTCTGTACAGAAACACTATGTAAATTTTGTAACTTGACTTAGTTATAGTTCTGTACAAATACACTGTACACTTAGCTATAGTTCTGTACAGACACTATGTACACTAGCTATAGCTCTGTACCGACACACAATGTACACTTAGCTATAGTTCTGTACAGATACACTATGTACACTTAGCTATAGTTCTGTACCGACACAATGTACACTTAGGTAAAGTTCTGTACAGATACACTTTGTACACTTATATTTCTGTACAGACACTATGTACACTTAGCTATAGATCTGTACAGAGACACAATGTACACTTACTTATAGTTCTGTACAGATACAATATGTACACTTAGCTATAGTTCTGTATGTACACTTAGTTATATACAGAGACACTATGTACACTTAGTTATAGTCTGTACTGTACATGTACACAGTTATATGTACACTACACTATGTACACTTAGTTATAGTTCTGTACAGAGACACTATGTACACTTAGCTATAGTTCTGTACAGAGACACTATGTACACTTAGCTATAGTTCTGTACAGAGACACAATGTACACTTAGTTATATTTCTGTACAGATACACTATGTACACTTAGCTATAGTTCTGTACAGATACACTATGTACACTTAGTTATAGTTCTGTACAGATACACTATGTACACTTAGCTATAGTTCTGTACAGAGACACAATGTACACTTAGTTATAGTTCTGTACAGATACACTATGTACACTTAGACACTATGTATATAGTTCTGTACAGAGACACAATGTACACTTAGTACACTTTATAGTTCTGTACAGATACACTATGTACACTTAGTTATAGTTCTGTACAGACTTACACAATGTACACTTAGTTATAGTTCTGTACAGATACACTATGTACACTTAGTTATATAGTAGTTCTGTACAGATACACTATGTACACTTAGCTATAGTTCTTACACAATATAGTTCTGTACAGAGACACAACTCTGTACAGATCTATGTACACTTAGCTATAGTTCTGTACAGAGACACAATGTACACTTAGTTATATAGTTCTGTACAGATACACTATGTACACTTAGCTATAGTTCTGTACAGAGACACAATGTACACTTAGCTATAGTTCTGTACAGATACACTATGTACACTTAGTTATAGTTCTGTACAGATACAATGTACACTTAGTTATAGTTCTGTACAGATACACTATGTACACTTAGCTATAGATGTACAGACACAATGTACACTTAGCTATAGTTCTGTACAGATACACTATGTACACTTAGCTATAGTTCTGTACAGAGACACAATGTACACTTAGCTATAGTTCTGTACAGATACACTATGTACACTTAGTTATAGTTCTGTACAGATACACAATGTACACTTAGCTATAGTTCTGTACAGATACACTATGTACACTTAGTTATAGTTCTGTACAGATACACTATGTCTGTACAGTTACACTATAGTTCTGTACAGATACACTGTATGTACACTTAGCTATAGTTCTGTACAGAGACACAATGTACACTTAGTTATAGTTCTGTGTGCACAGATACACTATGTACACTTAGTTATAGTTCTGTACAGAGACACAATGTACACTTAGTTATAGTTCTGTACAGATACACTATGTACTTACTTAGTAGTTCTGTATGTACACATGTAGTTCTGTACAGATACACAATGTACACTTAGTTATAGTTCTGTACAGATACACTATGTACACTTAGCTATAGTTCTGTACAGAGACACTTAGTTAATGTACACTTAGCTACTTAGTAGTCTGTACAGAGACACAATGTACACTTAGCTATATAGTTCTGTACAGATACACTATGTACACTTAGCTATAGTTCTGTACAGAGACACAATGTACACTTAGTTCTGTTACAGATACACTATGTAGTTCTTAGATACACTATGTACACTTAGCTATAGTTCTGTACAGATACACTATGTACACTTAGTTATAGTTCTGTACAGATACACAATGTACACTTAGCTATAGTTCTGTACAGATACACTATGTACACTTAGCTATAGTTCTGTACAGATACACAATGTACACTTAGCTATAGTTCTGTACAGATACACAATGTACACTTAGCTATAGTTCTGTACAGATACACTATGTACACTTAGCTATAGTTCTGTACAGAGACACAATGTACACTTAGCTATAGTTCTGTACAGAGACACTATGTACACTTAGCTATAGTTCTGTACAGATACACTATGTACACTTAGCTATAGTTCTGTACAGATACACAATGTACACTTAGCTATAGTTCTGTACAGAGACACTATGTACACTTAGTTATAGTTCTGTACAGAGACACAATGTACACAGTTATACATATAGTTCTGTACAGATACACTATGTACACTTAGCTATAGTTCTGTACAGAGACACAATGTACACTTAGCTATATAGTTCTGTACAGATACACTATGTACACTTAGTTATATAGTTCTGTACAGATACACTATGTACACTTAGTTATAGTTCTGTACAGATACACTTAGTTATACTATGTACACTTAGTTATAGCTATAGTTCTGTACAGATACACTATGTACACTTAGCTATAGTTCTGTACAGAGCTATGTACACTTAGCTATAGTTCTGTACAGTACACTTAGCTATATAGTTCTGTACAGATACACTATGTACACTTAGCTATAGTTCTGTACAGATACACTATGTACACTTAGCTATAGTTCTGTACAGATACACTATGTACACTTAGCTATATAGTTCTGTACAGATACACTATGTACACTTAGCTATATAGCTCTGTACAGATACACTATGTACACTTAGTTACAGGGATGTACAGACGCTTTGTACACTTAGCTATAGTTCTGTACAGATACACTATGTACACTTAGCTATAGCTCTGTACAGACACTATGTACACTTAGCTATAGTTCTGTACAGATACACTATGTACACTTAGCTATATAGTTCTGTACAGATACACTATGTACACTTAGCTATATAGTTCTGTACAGATACACTATGTACACTTAGCTATATAGTTCTGTACAGATACACTATGTACACTTAGCTATATAGTTCTGTACAGATACACTATGTACACTTAGCTATAGTTCTGTACAGATACACTATGTACACTTAGCTATATAGCTCTGTACAGATACACTATGTACACTTAGTTATAGGGATGTACAGATGCTTTGTACACTTAGCTATAGTTCTGTACAGATACACTATGTACACTTAGCTATATAGTTCTGTACAGATACACTTTGTACACTTAGCTATAGTTCTGTACAGGTACACTATGTACACTTAGCTATAACTCTGTACAGAGACACAATGTACACTTAGTTATAGTTCTATACGGAGACACTTTGTAGCCTAGTAATAGAGCTGTGCTGAGATATTCAGGTACACTTAGGTAAAAGTCTTCCTGGCACATCTGGATGTACAATGAGCATGTGGTTGACTATTGTATGAGGATGAGTATGTAGTCTTCCAGCAGTCACAGCGGACACCAGAACAGTGACCTCCATGAGTCTATATGTACAAACTTCACGTTACGAAGCTGGGAAATGAAGTGTGTAGGTCCCCGCTGTCAGCGTACTTTAGCTTCCCTTCCTGTTCAAATCAAAGCAGTCTGCAAGTCTACCGATGCCTAAAATGAATCCTCAGGAGATTTCTGCACCGTTTACTTGTTCCCATTTCCAGATTATATCCGAGATTTGACTCCCAAACATAAAGCCACACCTTATCACAAAATCTTGACCTAAAATACAATTTTGACACTTAACAATACGATCTTAGCAATGAAATGATTGTTAATCCCATTCCTTAACATATACTTACAATAACTGCAGCAATAAGAAGATTGTAATTCTAAAATGTTCAGGGAGACTTACATTAATTGTAGCATAAAGAAGATCATGAATCCATACTTTCACATTAACATACAATAACTGTTGTGCTAAGAAGAATGTAAATCCTAAAGTTTCACATGGACTTACAACAATTGTAGCACTAGCATCACTTTGTGGAACAAGCACCACAAATGGCCCTTACAAACAAATGTCCCAAGAGGCCATTGCAAGCATTACGTCATGACCACAAAGTATTGGGGTTAACAAGGAGGCTGAGGCTACCCATACATTCCTGCAGACAACACGATGTTCAGTAATCCAGATGGGCCCCTCTGAGTATTGTCAGCCATTGATCAGTGCCCACCAGGAACATTCATATCCCAGCGCCAGTAATGGTGCCGGCCTGTCCAGGTGCTTCCTTTGTTAGATTGAGCGATAAATGTAATTTGTTGAAGTGTACAGAACTGATGCTCTGCACCACAGCAAGCAATGAAGCGAAGAAACCATTATGGTGATGTGTTGGGAGAAATGCAGGAGAATAAGCACCTCCCCCCTCATTCATTTATTGAATGTAAATTGTGAGAATGCATACACTGTGTTCTTCCACACTCCTAAATCTATCAAGATCCGTTTTAGAATTCCTCTTAAGAAATCCATGCTTCTCCTAAGACGCAGACCTGCAAAGATTTGGATTAGAAATGGTCCTCAATAACCCATGCTTGTCATAAGAGGTGACTAACGGGATCGGGTGGTCAGACTCGCTGACTTAGTTGACACATCTCATCTTATCCCAATTGTGTAGATCGATGCTCATGCTGTAGATCACAGTATTGTCTATTGTCGATTATTTACAGACCGCCGCCATATAGCTGGAATATTGCTGAGTGCGGCATTAAACAACAACCAAACCAAACCTAAGATGCAAAGAAATGGACCATGTATCAGGTTGCTGACCTGTTTCATGAATGTCATTGTATCCCAATTGCATAGATAAATGCACATGATGCCAATCACTGGATTGTCTGGTCCATACTCGATAACTTCTAGGCCTCCTACCATGATTACTAAGCACTGTGTAA